CATGCCTGGGACAGGAGCAGGGCCAGAAGGGAGGGCAATGCATGACACATTTGCAGGGGAATGCCATCCCTGTGCTTTCACGATTCCACCTGAAAACCATCAGCCATTTCACATGGCATCCTCAGGCTGAAGCCTGCTTTATCTTAGTAAGATCTTTAAGGGTTAGTGGTTCCTGCTGTGTTCCCTGCACTGTGGCTGTTCAGATCCCCTGTATGTATTGTGGTGTGTAACCCATGCAGAAGGTCTGGTCATGTAGCTTACAGAGGTGCAACTGAGCACTGTCCACATAGCCATATGCCCCTTTGTCCTGTTTCATGTGCAGACACAGAATAGCCATGATTCTTATATGTGATTTATTTTTGAGTACAGTGTATTGCTCTTTTCTGAAACTTTTTCCTTTTTCTTTCTTTTTTTGTCAACTTTCTGCATTGGCAGAGCATCTTGGGATTGAATTTATGGGTATGGACCAATCATTCCTTTTAGCCTGCAGATTTTAGAGCCTGAGAGATAAACCCCTTTTTATTTTTTTTTCTCCACCTCCCCTTTTCAATTCCTAACCAATTTCTTTATGCTTTAGAAGGGATCATACAGCTATAACAATCACCCTTATCAAACGTTAGCAGAGATCAGCTCACTAAAATGGTAATAGTGATAGGATATTCCAGACCTAAGGAGTTCTAGGAAATACTGAAGTAATCGTAACATAGTGTACATTCATTTTTCTGCTGTGTAATTTTGACTAGTTTTGACGTTTGCTTTTGCCGAGTTCTTCTAGGGTTGCCAGATTTTAGAAACACTGTAAATATTAAGCAAAAATACTAACTACAAAAAGATCAGCTGTTATAGCCACTGAAAATTCTGCAAATTTACAGTTTTGAGCTCTGGTTACCAGGTAAAGTTTTATGTCTAAACCGACAGCTAGATATGTAAATCAGATGCATATACATATGTGTAAATTATATACATATACATATTTATTTCTAGGTCTATAAATTAGAAGTGAACTGAATTTTTTTTTTAAATTTAAGTAGAGGTTTATAGCTAGACTCCATATTCTCAAGTCAGCAAATATATACAATAGTTCTAATACTAAACTCATATTGCACTCAACCAAGAACATTGGCAGTGGTTTCTATTTTTACACTTCAGCTTAAATATAATAGAACTAGGTCTTCTAAGTTCTCTTCATGAATAGACTGTACTTACCTGACTAACATTTAGTAATCAGGAGTACAAATAATGCATCTCTTGAATAGGCTAACTTGAAATTGAGGTCAGTTTTAGTATGACAACTCCTAAAATTGTCAGCAAATGAGAAGAACCAGGTAGTGTTGCTTTTCACACAGTTTTAGTTCATGTTCCTGTTAAAAATGCCCCCACAACATGTCATTAGTTCAAGCTGTGAACTGAGGAAAACCCATTACAAGTTCAGATTTTAAAAATCTCTCACAACCCAGCTTAGTATTACTGTTATTATTATTACAAGATAATATTAATTCTCACTCATATATACTAGAAGATATATGCCTACATTAACATACGAGAAATTAAATTAAAATCCATTAAAAAAACAATTTGTGAATTTTGCTTTATATATGAAGTTATATCAGTAGAACCACCTCTTGAAATGAAATTCTTTTAAAAATGCTCAGAGACCCATAAGAAGAAAAACTTCAAAATGGAGCAAATTTAAGACCATATGTATCATCAGTTATGTGTAATTTAGGGCGACATGAAAATAAGTGCATAATGTGCATGTTCGAAAGGCTTCACATAGAGGCATTTAATATCTTGGCTAAAGTCTCGTGTTGATTTGATTTTCCTAGCATTCTGCGGGGGGGAAAAATGTATTCAAATGATTTTTAATACTTAACAGGCGAAAACGTTTTCTAAATTCTCACTGCACAGACATTCCTCTATGGCCTTTTCCCCAAGGCTGCTATTAATTATTTTCAAGCTCATTTGATGAGCACTTTAAATACAGCATATGCTATTTGTTGGGCGTCGTCACCTGGCTCTGTAGATGTTAACACCCTGTAGAGAGAGAGGGCAGTTTTGGGGCCATACCCAGTATACCTGCAAGTGCCCCATGGGAGTTCGGTCCCTGCTTCACAAAACTCTTCTGGCCTTAAACAGAGGCCAAGGCTCATTCTGGAGGCACCACACCGCCTGCAGAGTGGTGGCCAGGATCTCTGATCACGTCCCAACAGTCAGCAGCCCTTACCAACCGCAGCAGTTGTCCCCCCGCTTCCCCAAGGACACTCAGGCATCCCCCTGCTGTCCTGGACAGTGAGACCCTGTTAGCCAGGAGGAGAGCCAGGTTTACATGGGAGCTTGCTGGTTTGCTGGGCAAGACACACCTGGACATATGTGCCTCTCCAGGCAGCCATTCCTCTCCCATGGCTTGAGGGAGGGCATGGCAGCGGCACTGTTCATGCAGCCTGTGTCAAGCTGGATCATCCTAAGGGCCTCATTTCGAAGGGCACGGGAGGAAATTAATGCAATGAAAGCAGACCCACGGGTTTACCTCACCATGCCCATCAAGACCTCCAGTCCCAGCAGACCCGCTGGTGTGAGGAGCGTTGCTTAGGACTGCATCCACAGCCCCGGTCCCCTGCTGTGGGCAAGAGCCCAGGAGCATCCAACACACAAGGGACAAGCCTCAACCCACTGGCAGCCTTAGTAAGGCCATCACTGGCCAGCCTGGCTCATTTGCAGCACCTTCAGCCTGGATTAAACCTCCTGGAGTCAGTGGAATGTTTCCCTGAGTATAAATAACCAAGAAGAATGTCCACTGTTAAGTAATCTTCTTCCTCTCCCCTTCCCTCCAGAAAAACAAGTTGATATGTTCTTATTCATTTTGCTTTCACAAGCTAACAGCTGACAGCATGAACCAAAAAAAGGAATAATTCAAAGCCTTTCAAATTTGCCCATAAATTGCTTAGCGCGATGCTCCTGTTTCCTGTGACATCCTCATAATACACCATTGCCATGGCTAACTAATAAGCGCTTTCAGAAGGGGCAAAACTGGGAAGGGGATCAAGTGCCACTAACTAGCCTAGGCGAGGAGTTATGCTGTATGAGAAATCCCTTCACACTATGCTTCAACCCTTTTTTTTTTGTCCCCAAGCTTTTCTTCACTCTGTTTTTTCCAGTATCAAGCATGCTGTGCCAGGCCTGCAGTTGACTTCTCAACTCTTTAACCTTGTCTTTCCCTATATTTCACTTTCCTCTTTCTCTCTTTATCTTTGTTTGGTTTGGAGTATCAGCCCTTTCTTCCTTCCCTTTTTTGACTTTCTGTTCTTGGAGTTATAGTTTTGTTTTCTTTAATACATTTTTGCAGCATCCTTGTTTTACCAAACTCACTTCTTCCCTGCCCCCTCTCCCCTTGTTAATAATCAGTGCTGTTAATTTTGTCTGACAGTGCTCATGACCTGTTTGCTGGTGTTTTGGTTTAGAGTGGGTTTGGCTTGTATCACGAATTCGTTCCATAGTAAGGTGCATTGTATCAGAGAAATGAAGATTTCTTTTTGCTTTGTCGTATGTTGCATGGAATATTTGCCATTTGCCCATAGCAACTTCAAAACTAAACTAGAGAAGCCCAGGAAACACACTGTAAGAACGACTGCTCCTTCTTCAGTAGAGAGCATTTTCTCCTGAACTGTCTTGGCATTTTTGACAGCACATCATTTAAGTGCCTGAGATTGGACAGAGACCCATGACACATGTGAGAGACCGTTGTGTGTCTCTGTACGTCCTGATGAATTGCCCCACAGACCTTTTATGTACATTTAAGTCCCTTCCAGCAGGAATAATGCTGGCATTTATCCCAAAGATAGTGCAGTGCTGTGCAGCTTTTAGTCATTCATTTATTTTTAATCACCTGATGGCATTCCAGCTGTGGTCAATATTGCAGTCTGACCTAAGGCCACCCATCCAGTATGGATCCTCCAGGGCGAGTTTTCTGGACTGCCTGCTTCATCAAAGGGCTAGATGCCTGTTTTTGTTCCTAAAAGTAGGAATGCAAATCTGCATCCTCAAAGCACCGACACCGAGCATGCCTCTGTTTTAGCACTCCTACATAAAGTTCCCCAGCATAGCATGCAGCAATGCTCTCTGCCAAGCGTGAGTGAGGCAGGAATGCATGGGTAGCTCCAACCCAAACATTACCAGTGCAACAAACATCTTTATAATAGTGAAATGTCTCTGATGAATGAGATCAATAACTAGTTGTCATCACTGAGCAAGCTGCCACCCTAGATAGAGCAGTTCCTTTGTTGGACACAAAGAGACACAAGTAGAAACACAGCACTTCTCTGATACAAAGCACTGCTGATTGTTGATATTGCTGTGTTTTTGGAGGAGCACTGGAGAAAAGAGTCTGAATTTTGTGACCAGAGCTCAAAACCTATCTTCCTTTGCATTGGTGATATAATTATAAGCCAAGCTCATGTCTCAAATACAGAAAGTTATTTTGAAATATCTCCTGTAAAGACAACTGAGATATAAATTGACGTGGGAGCAGAGGGACATTGGCTATAAAAACAATCCAAAAAAGATAATAAGAAAATAAATTTCTCTTAAGGCCCATAAAATTGGCCTTCATTCCAGCTGTCTTTGCAGAGTAAAACTTCCAAAGCATTTGCAAATACATGTTATTACCTTAGTGCGTTGCATTTTTATTTCCAGCAAATGCTGAGTGTTTGTTAATTGTGAAGTTGTTTGGTAGATGTTACTCCTGTTGACTTAAATAAAAAAAAAAGATTACTTTTGACTATAATTGTATGGATGATAACTCATCCCCAGTAATGCGTTAAGAGCTTATGGTGTAGTCTCATTCTCCTTGCAGTCAATAATGAGTTTGCCTGAAGTGTGGTGGCTGTGTTTCGGTGTGGCTGTTTAATATGTGCAGTGGTTTGTAGCATGCCAGCTGTTGACTGTGTGCTCCTTGCCTAGCCATCCTCCATGTTGTGACCTTCTCTGTTTTTGTCCCTTTCTAGAAGCTGAGGAACTGTACCAGAAACGGGTGCTGACCATAACTGGCATTTGCATTGCTCTTCTAGTAGTTGGCATCATGTGTGTTGTGGCCTACTGCAAAACCAAGTAAACTTTTCTCTTCTTTTATGTATCTGTGGTTGTTGGTCAGGGCCTTCCCAGCTGACTGCAGCTTCTAGTCTGCTGAGCATTATGTTGTTTGTGGGTTTCTCCAGAGTTCAGCTGAAGAGACAAACTTGTGGCCAGGCTGCTCTGGTCCAAGCTAGATGGGTGCAGGTCTCCATGACACTCAGCAGTGCAAAAATGAGACAGGTATCCAAAAGGTTTTTCACCCTTCAAATGTGACTCTAGCAAATCTCACTGACTTGCAGTTCTTTGTCTATCACCCATTCCAGCTGGTTTCCCTAGCTGGAAAGGAACAAACCCCAACACTGGAATCATGTTACTATCCAGCAGTAAATTTTACACATCAACCTAGTTTGTTTGTACTCAAAGCAAGATTAACGGTTACTAAACACCAAAGGCCAAAGAACTGAACACAAAAGTACTCCCAATGCAAAAGTAGGCATTTAAATGCGTTCTGTGAGTCTCTGTAAATTACTGGGGGTGACTCTCAAACACGCATGAGACACTCTGGACGATAAATTACAATGAACATCAGCAGAATTTGTGCTGCCAAAACTTCTGGCTGCTCCTATAAATCTCCCCACCAAAACACAGAAAACCCATATCATAAATCTTCCACATCGGGATAAACCTGATTTACTGCTGCAAGGACTGATTGGCAGTTGGGTTGTTGGTTTTCATTTTAAGCCCCACAAATAATGGATGTGTTAAAAGGGGGGGAGAAAGGGAACCATTTGCCCCCCTACATGCTGCTCCCACTTACAACCTTGTGGAACAAGTGGGAATGACTGAAACAGTAAAAAAGAATCAGATCAATACTGCTTTTAGAAATGACAACTAGCAAGACAGGGTAGCTTATCAATCTTTCCCTCTCCAAAGTTCATCAAAATCAGCCAGGGCATACCCATGAATGAAGTAAAAGTCCTGAAGTATGGCTTTCTATATAAAAAGCCCCCAGAATCCATCAGGGGTCTGGATGCTTTGTCACAGTTTGTCCCAGATGTCAACATCCACTGCCAGCCAAAAGTGAAACGTTTTCAAACACAACTGATGAAAGTGAGCTGCCAGTTCATGGCCTCCAAATGCAGCAGCAATACTAGACTGCTGTCTGTGAAATGTTTCCCCATGCTCTTTCCTCCTAATAAGGGAAAACCCAGAAACCAGGGGAAATTCACATTAAATAAAATGTGATGGCTTAGATTTTTTTGGTCTCTTTGCAAGAGATACTGCTGGTCAAATGCTGAAGCAGTATCTTCTGACACTCAGTCTTAATTCAGCGGTGCTTATTTGCAAGTCATTTATATTAAGGGAAAGGCTTCTCAGAATAGGTGAAGTACACTTTAGCTTTCCCATTATTCTTTCTTCCTAGTTTCCTGGAGTAATTTTTTTTTTTTTAATTAAGTATCCTTTTACCAGAGAATGAACAGCACACATCGGAGCATGCAAAATGCAAATACATTCATCAGTGAAGGTGGGAAGTAATGCCGTTTCCGCAGGACAGATTCCTGGGCAATATGTGCCAGGATCTCAGGCCCGTAGGCGATGAACAGAAAGTCCCTCTAGAACCCACTTTCTCTACCATGTCAGGGAACTCAGTTTGTCCTCACCTCCCAAGGTCTCCAGGGTCTCATGGAGAGGTGCTGCGAAATCAAGTTAAGTCCTTGTCCGTGTTGCTTCTTAGCCCGGGCAGGTTTTTAGGTATCTGTGCAGGTATCTCCTGGCAGTGCAGTCTCCATCCGCCTTGAGCATCTGTGTGTCCTAAGATGATGCCTGGTTTTCCTCCAAACAGAAAGCCCACATGGACAAGGGACTGTGTCCTGCTGAGACAGCAGCGTGTCCAAGGCAGCTGTGTCTCCTTATACCATTCATATGGAGTGACATAAATTAAATGTTTTCTACTATCCAGGCACATACACGCAGAGAAAATATGTAAAATGCAGTGTGTCAAGTTGTATTTTCTTTGTCTTTAAGCTTCCTTGGCTATCAAGCTTTAACGTATTTATAGTTTTCCCTACCCCCTCCTTTTTGGAAAGCTTGGAATAGTCCCTTTGCATTCAAAACAGGATTGAAAACGGTTATATCTTACCCTGTCCTACCCTGCCAAATCTGCACTTCTGCATACAGCTTAGGGAATTGTGTGTATTTTAGCTCTTGCCACAGCCAAGGTCATATACACTCTGCAGTGCTTTGGAGCCTGCATCCTCCCTTCATTTCCCTGGATTCTGTGGCAGGATGGTGGAACCTCTCCAGTATAATCAGACAAAACTGGGGAATATTGATAAATTAAGTCTGAAATTGAACAGCTCCTTACCCAGTTATTTATTTTGGTGTTCTATTTAGTGCATTCTGCATGGCCTTCACAGCACTAGGTTTTACTATGCTACAAGTTTTGTTAAGGACAGCTTGCTGTGATCTGCTGAAAAGCTCTCTTGAGGAGAGTTGGAAAGATTAGCAACTGGGAAAGGAGCAGCTGAGGACGGGTAGAAGCATCCAAGTCAGCCAGACACCCTGCCGTTAGTGCATGTCGTTGGTGGATGTTTCCTTTGAATGCATTAGCAGCCCTGGCATCTACCTGGTAATCATTAGGTTCTAGACCTAATCTGTTGTTGCTGTAATGAAACCTTCCAGAGCTGCCAAGTTAGCTGCAGACACAGTCATACCTCACACATTTACCTACTTCCAGGGCTTCCTCAGCACTTCTTTAACACATTTATGTATTTGGAGTGCATTGTTTAGGTAGGGGACGAACCCCACCAAGAAATGTGTAGCTGCCACATCACAAAGATCACAGCACGTGCCATGTTTTCATGGCATGCAAGCCCTGAGGTGAGGCCACCTCAGCTCTCTGTGATGAATGGAGAAGCATAACTTGGTGTGCTGTCAGAAACCTGGCCATGGCTGCAATGATGGTGTCAAGGTGGCTGGGTTAAAATCTCTTCCCCCTCCCTTCTCAGTGCAGAAGAAGAGCTCCTCCTGAGATGGACCGTGGTTTAGAAATGGCTTCCTTCTTCCTCGCACTTTTTGTCGTCCCTGTGTGGCCTGCTGACTCCTGGAAGGGTTCCCACACATCCTTCCCCCTCTGCAGGTCCCCACAGCTCCAGCTGCAATTAGACCTGCGGTCTTCAGAGTTGCTCTGAGATCTTGCAGCAGTGGGGAAAGTGCTGGCAAAAAAAGTGATGTTATATTATTATTATTATTATCATCATCATCAACATGCTGAAAGGTGCAGCTGCATTCCCTTTGTCTAGTAAAATCATTTCCGTGTTTCATGCACAGGAAGCAGAGAAAAAAGTTGCATGACCGCCTTCGGCAGAGCTTGCGCTCGGAAAGGAACAATGTGATGAACATGGCCAACGGGCCACACCACCCCAACCCGCCGCCTGATAACGTCCAGCTGGTGAACGTAGGTTTTACTGTCCTCATTTCAGCCTAGGCTGCCAGTGCCACAGCTTTTTAAATTTCTACCTTAGACTGGTGGCTGAATTCTCTTGGCTTTCTCCAGCCAGAAACAAAATAAATGCACTAAAATGAGATACATTTCTGCAGATGGCCAGTTTACTGGGGCGTGTCTCAGTGCTGCAGCTGTGCCTGTGGATCTAGGACACCAAAAGCAAGACAATTACATCAGAAAAAAATGCTAAGAGCTCTACAGCAGGGCTAAGTGCTGTAGAGATCAATTTCTTCAAACACACGTACTTTGCTCTTACTTGCCTTGGCCTGATGGTTGGTGAGTAGGGGCAGCCCCCTTGAATCAGGAATGTGACATTATGAACTCAGGGATAAAAGTCTGAGTAAAGATCTCACCTGGACAGTAGCAGTGGCTGAGGAGATGGGGCTGGGGTAGATACTCCACCAGTATTCCCCAGCCATTTGTCAGAGCAGAGCAGAGAAGACAGTTACTCTTCAGCTAACCCCTTGGCCAAGCCCCTTGGCCTTAATGGCTAGGGCTCACAGTGTCTGTAGCTGCTTCCTCCTCTCCTCCCTTTCCCAGGGAAGCCTGCTGCCTGGAGAGAATGTCAACATCCTGCCACCACAAGCCATTCTCACTCTCCTGCCCCATATATTCATGGCAGCTCATTGCAGGGGTGAGCTGCTAAGTCAGTGGCAGTGCTCCCACTGACCTAGGTCAAGGCCAAGATGCCTTTTCAGAAGAGCTCAGCTTCCAATACTTCCCCTCAAAAGACCTAAATCCATGGTCAAATTACTTAGAGAGGGAAAACCAGATTCCCCACAGAGGAGAACCGAGAGTACTACCAGCAACAGCATTGCAGGGGAAAAGCTGTGTATGAAATTGGGCACTGCACATCTCCGGGCTCATCTCAGGAAACTTTGGCCCCTTCTGCAGATCATCCCCTGATGAATAGGCCTGCCCTGGTGCTGCATCCATGGGCACTGAAAATAGCCATTTCTTGCCCGATACTTACCCTGCAGAGGGCAATTGCTACTTGTAACTACTGTCATCTTCTCCATCAGAAAATAGTATTTTTGATATATCTGGTAGTAAAGGGGGGGTTGCCTTTCCAGGTCTCTATCCATTTGGACTTCTCATTCCCTCTTTAAATATGTACATTGTTTAAAGCCTGATTGGGATGTAGTCCTTTGCTGATTTCCTCATTTGTTTCCTTCTGCTTTGAGTTTAGATGAGGTATGTATGCAGAGGTGTACAGGAATGGGCTCCAGTATGTCAATGTGATTTGTACCTGTATTTAAGTGACAAAGTTTGTGCTTTAGCCTGTGTGAAAAAACGCAACTTAGTGGGGAGGGGACAGGGGTTGGAAATTGTGTCTGCAAATGTGCTGTGAATTACAGTTTGTAAACCTGAGGTTTGTCTGCATTTTTTCAGCAGTACGTTTCAAAAAACGTAATCTCCAGTGAGCATGTCATCGAGCGAGAAACAGAGACCTCATTTTCTACGAGCCACTACACCTCAACAACACATCACTCCGTGACAGTCACCCAGACACCCAGCCACAGGTACTGGAGGGGGAAGGCAAACAGCACCTCTAATATCTGATCTGCTGCTGTTGCAAAACTGAAAAGATGTGTAAAAAAAAAACAAACCCAGAAAAATCTATGCTCCCTTCGCAGTGTTTTCATTTTAAGACTAACATTATTTGATGTCATGTCGTCTAATTCTCCTTATAATTTTCTTTCCAGGAATTTACAAAGATCTTTATTGACTGAGTGACGTTCCAATACTGTTACAGTGAATTTCTGTATATGTAGACTGCTAAATCAGTGACAGTCCTGGTGACTGGAAAGCCCTCCTTCCCTCTCCTTTTATCCACACATACAAAGTCATCTTGATACATGTGGATCCATACAGTTCACAAAACTCTGCAGCCCCAGTTACCAATCTGTAGGTTATGCTGCACATCCCAAGCAGCAACAGAAGCAATAGAGGTTCTTCCTCTCCTCTGGATAAATTTCTGCTCATCTGCCTTTGCCACCAAAGCCCCTTCTCACACTCCCTCCCTTCTTCTCCTTTCCTGATTGCTGCTCTCTAGCTGGAGTAATGGCCACACCGAAAGCATCCTTTCCGAAAGCCACTCAGTGCTCGTCAGCTCCTCCATGGAGAACAGCAGGCACACCAGCCCAGCAGGACCCCGGGGACGCCTCAATGGCATTGGTGGACCACGGGAAGGCAACAGCTTCCTCCGGCACGCAAGAGAAACCCCTGACTCTTACCGAGACTCTCCTCACAGTGAAAGGTAGGACACACCACCTCATTGCTTTCAGCTGGGGAGGCTGGGTGTTCCCAGATGGTTTCAAAGCCTGGGGGAGCACAGGAGGAAACCCAGCATCACAGCTATTCATGTAGGGCATACTTCTCCTCACTCGTGAAGGAGTGCTTGGTAGGAGTTTAAAGTTCACCAGAAGTATCTCTTTTCTTCTTGCCTCTGCTGGATTTATTTGTAATAGCCAGCAGTTCACATTTGGATAAGCTCCGCTACAAGTCATTTGTCAGAAGTCTCAACCGTAAAGTAAAAATGGATCTTTGCCTAATTACTGGTTTCTTAGGAGAAGCAAGTGAGAAGACTGAGGGATTTTGTGAGACACAAAAGGTGGGGAGAAAGATGGGGAAATCAGTGTATTGATTCACAGGAAGAGGACTCCTAAATGATACAGGAATTCTGTCGCCGCTTACTTTCTGGGGGATTCCAGCTCCTAAACACACTATATGTCCTTAAAAAATTCTCTTGACTCTTTATTAAATAAACACAAGGAACACAAACTGCAAGCCATTATTAAATCAAGAGTAGTTGTAAATAAAGCTAGCCAGGAGTTTTCCAACAAAGTCATTTTTTTTTCTGAAAAGGCTGCTTCATCAGTACCTAAGGTCTGTGATGAAATGCATCAGTTGTAAGAAAACTTTTACTGAAAAAGTCTTCTCAGTTTTAAGTTAGGATTTCATCTCAAGAGCATGGGATGGCCCCAGAGTAGCAAATGAAAGATTGAGGAGAAACAAGACATTTGAAAATAGTTTTTCTCCCAAGAAACAGAGGTAGAAGAAAAGGAAAACAAAGGGTTACTGGACCAATTCTCTGAGCATTGTGAAAACACAAGGGATTTGATCTCGTGGGATGTCCATGATGACAAAAATGCAGCCAGGCAATCCCCAAGGAGACCAAGTTGTGTAGGAGACAAATTGCAGTTTCCAGAAAAATGAATGTGCAAGTGCAGCAAAAGCCATTTCTGTGGTACTCTCTCTGCTACACAAAGAACAACTACTTAGCAGAGGAATAAGGCACCACCGCTGAGGGCTATCTAAATAAGGCCTGTATGACCACTAAGGAGAGTTGAACTGTCTCTCTCCTTAATAACAAAGTTACCTGTTGTTTACCATGGAATTTAATTTCTAAACACGTGGCTCACATGACACAAACAGGCATGGCCCCAATCCAGCAGAGCACTTCAACAAGATCAACTTGAGTTGTGCAAGCAGCCCCAATGAAATCAGGGAGATTACTCACTCAGCTAGAGCTCAGCACATGCCTAAGTGCTTTGCTGGATCAGGACCTACAGCAGTAAATACTGCACAGTCTCCTGCCTGGGAACCATACAGGACGCGCAGCCACACGCCTGCTGTACTACAGCTTAGTATATTTGGGCAACTGCATGCCAGAAGCGAAGGTTGTTTGCACTGTCTTCCCACATTGCCTGGGACACCCAGAGCATCATTCTGGTGGGAGCTGTTTAGATTCTGGGGGAGGGGTGCAGGGGAAGGAGCGCATGCCTTTCCATTGCAATGAGAAGAAAGAAGGCATTTCGTCAATTATTTTGTTTCTTGAAGATTACGCCACAGGTGAAAAGCAGCGACATTTCTGTGATAATTTACTAGGCATGTGCCTGACATGACCATGAGTTTGGAATCCAGAAGATAGTTCCCTGGGCATTAAATTAGGCCTCATCTGTTTTTAGCAAGCAGGAAATACATGGCAGATTATTGCTGAGATGGATTGCCTGTATATCTGTGTGTATATAAGGGGGAAAATTAGAGTTATTTGCAACTAAAAATGAAACATAAAGGAATGTATGAGCTGACAAATTACTCCCTGAAGCCATCAAATGTTGCTGTGCTGTGAATCAGTAGATCAAGGCTGTGCTCCCTCCACCTTCTAGTCACCAGCTACTTCGACATTTTGAAATGAAATAAAATGACATTAAGAGGGTTTCTCTTGTGTTACCCCACCCTTTTGTTGGATCCAATACCCTGACACCTGTTTACACGAGCAGAGGACCCAAACACCTGTATTTCAGAACATTCTTAGCCATCTTAGAAGGGAGAAGATCAAAAAGCACCATCTCTGCATGAAAGGCTGGACTATATGATGAAGTTGGCAGCCTGTACCTAGTTAATGCTTGTTGTCTGGCCGCAGATACACTCTGATCCCCTTTCACCGAGCCACCAAGGTTTACCTCTTCTTGGCCATGAAGCTGGGTAAATCTATCACCATTTAACCTTCCTTTTGGGATGGGCTCGAGCTGCATGTGTTTGGCTCCTGTGCCTCAGGCCACAGGCAGCAGCTTGTTAGCGCTGCCCTATTATGGTGTGGGGGAATACACCAGAAATGTGTGAATGCACAAACACCCCAGTATGAGCAACCTGACACTGATGGGAGCGTGAACAGTATGCTGAACACGTTTTACTAACTTAGGGCATTAACTGAACCAGCTTAGCTAAAATCCAGTGTGTCAAGATGTACCATCTGGGGAAGTAGAAAGGCTTCACTTTTTCAGACAATGCCTATTGAAAAATGTGAAAGGGATGAAAGGAAAAATAAAGAATGACTTCATTCATCCAATGCATAAAACTATTAATTGCCCTCTGCTCTCACTAGCAACCAACTTGTAATTCCCATGCATAACTAGTTTTGGTTTTCTTTCTCTTATTCCTCAGTTGATGTAAATCAATATGCCTCTACTGAAACCAATTTACTCCACTGCACATCAGTTCAGGATCTGTCCTGGTTTCTTTTATCCAATAACTCTGTTTTAATCAAGTGTAATGTGTGCAACAGAGTCATAGATTGGATAAAAATCTTGGATTTCTTTTAGTAATTTCAGACTCAGATAAATAAATCACTAATGAAAAACTAAATAACTTCATCAGTCATAGCCAGGTAACTTATCTCAATGGGCCTGTATAAGAAATGGAATTAGAAAGATTTTTGATCTGGACACAGATGACATTCAGGCAGGTGAACTTAGGATAAGAACAAAAGCAAAGCCAAACTATGCAAAATGCCATGGTGGGCATTGTGCCTTTGATCAAGAGGTTTCAGGCAGAGGATCCTCACCTGGCATGAATCTGCATCTCATGGAGCTCCACTTAGTAAAACCAGCTGAAAGTCTCACATTTTTTGTCCTCTTCCTTTGGGACAAGCTCTGTACTGGTGCCTGAGCTTCGTTTTCAGAAATCACCTTTGACCACTACCCTTCCTACAGAAACTAATGAAGAAATAGGGGCAAATTTTGCAGACCAATCATGAACACTAGGCCAGACAGTCCTCTCTGTCAGCATTCATTCCCACACAAGGACAAATAATGCTCCATGTTTCTTTGCAGATAGACCTACCAACCAGGGTAACTAGCACCTGAGGAGTGGAGCAGCACAAAGCTACTGGGATGGTGCTGCAAATCTTCTTTGGGCTACCCACAGTGATTAGAATTAGCAGAACGTGGCTCTGGATTTTGTCCAAACTTTGCTTTCCTCCTTAGCCTGAGACAGTCTGGTTTCCAGAAGAGGGTGGAGCCCAAGAGGACTGTCCCTCGCTTCCCTTCCTCTCTCTCCTTCTGTCTGTTTGTGAGCACCCCCGGTTCTGGTCAAGTCCTGCCAGAAGTGCAGCACCTATTTTCCTTTTGAGAAAATACTTCCAAACGCATTTTTTTTCTGGCATCTCACCCGTCTCTGAATCCCATTCCTGGATTAATTCCAGGAAGTTATTCTGGCAAATAATTTACAGCATCTCCATGGCTCTTCTGAGGCAAATGGACCCGGGGGCCATGCTCCTCCTGCTCTCAAACGTCCCAGAGTCCCAGATGTCAGCAGTTTTATAGAATTAATAGCAACAGAAAAGTTTCCCTGGTAGCCCTGGAGGATGCTGGGGATCTTAAGGGATCCTTGCCTTTTCCCTCCCAGCCCACGAAAGCAGCTGTGTTTACGTCACCACCACTCCTGTGCTCGCAACCTTTCCCCATCTCTTTTCTTCAGGTATGTCTCAGCTATGACCACACCAGCTCGCATGTCACCTGTCGATTTCCACACTCCAACTTCTCCCAAGTCCCCCCCCTCCAAAATGTCACCACCAGCTTCCAGCTTGACCATCTCCGTCCCTTCGGTGGCGGTGAGTCCCTTCATAGAAGAGGAGCGACCGCTGCTCCTGGTGACCCCACCACGGCTACGTGAAAAGTACGACCGCCACCTTCAGCAGTTCAACTCCTTCCACCACAACGCCGCCCACGAAAGTAACAGCCTGCCACCAAGTCCTCTGCGGATAGTGGAGGACGAGGAGTATGAGACCACACAGGAGTACGAACCAGCACAGGAACCTCCAAAGAAACTCACCAACAGCCGGAGGGTCAAAAGAACAAAGCCCAACGGCCACATTTCCAGCAGGGCAGAAGTGGACTCTGACACGAGCTCTGAGAGTAGCAGCTCTGAGACAGAAACCGAAGATGAAAGAATAGGCGAGGATACACCGTTCCTGAGCATACCAAACCCCATGGCGACCAGTCTGGAACCAGCCGCTGCCTACCGGCTGGCTGAAAACAGGACTAACTCGGCAAATCGCTTCTCCACACCAGAAGAGTTGCAAGCAAGGTTGTCCAGTGTGATAGCTAACCAAGACCCTATTGCTGTATAAAACATAAAACACATAGATTCACATGTAAAACTTTATTTTATATAATGAAGTATTCCACCTTTAAATTAAACAATTTATTTTATTTTAGCAATTCCGCTGATAGAAAACAGGAGAGGAAAAAAAACTTTTATAAATTAAATATACGTATGTACAAATGTGTTATGTGCCATATGTAGCAATTTTTTACAGTATTTCAAAAATGGGGAAAGATATCAATGGTGCCTTTATGTTATGTTATGTTGAGAGCAAGTTTTGTACAGTTACAATGATTGCTGTCCCATAGTATTTTGCAAAACCTTCTAGCCCTCAGTTGTCCTGGCTTTTTTGTGCACTGCATTATAATGACTGGATGTATGATTTGCAAGAATTGCAGAAGTCCCTCTGGTCGCTTGCTGTAGACTCCCCAGATCAAAAAGACCTGTAATGGCACTCCCACCCTACTCACCCCACTAGAAACACACACACACACACACACACAGGAAAAAAAAAAAAAAAAAAAAAGAGGAAAAAAAAGCTGAAAAAACAACAAAAAAATATTTTCTTCTGTAAGGAGTTTTATTTGCTTTCCGTATATGAAATGAGTTTTGTCTGCTCTCTGCCAGCCAAAAGGTTTGCTTCTTTGAGCACTGGGATAATAGTAGATCCAACAGCATGCTACTATTAATTACAGCAGGATAACAAAAAAAAAAAAAAAAGAAACAAAAAAAAGCAAACCTGCATTAAATAATGTTACTTATAGAAAGAAAGTAATACTGTGATTTTAAACCAAATATATTATTATTCAGAGGTCAGCTTGTAATCACTAGGAGCTGCCATTTCATTATTTTCCAGATATTAATTGTTCTAGTTATCCCTTAGAAAATGGGTTTAGGTTAGCTGAGGCTTTGAACCCAATACTCAATTAAAAATTAAAAAAAAAAAAAAAAAGGAAAAAAAAGAAAAAAAGAAAAAATTAAAAAAAAAATTATGTTAGTTTAAGTTAATGGGGCAAATATAACGGATATCTGTAACCAAGCAAGGAAGAGATCTAGCTGGAAAACAAATGCCACTAATAAAAGTGCAATCAGTTTTCACCTCTATTTTTTAATGTTGATTTCTAATAGATGATTTATCCTTTTGTTTCCTCTCAGTTTTCTCCCCTTTCTTCTCCTTCTCAGAAAGAACCCTGACAAGCTTCTAGCAATACCTTGTTAGACTTGCTGTTGGAGTAAGGATTACTCTTGGACACAGAAATGTCTTTCAGGGAAGAATTGCTTTGCTGACTGGTTAAAAAGTATAGGCGAGTAGGAAGGATATAGCAGAAGTATGGAGTTCATTTCTGCTTGCCTTTATTGACTCCATTATTTGGGCTGAGAGAGGCAAGGCTGATGCAAAGCCCATTTATAACAGCAAGCACACTGTGTGGGTTAGCCATAGTGTGCATGGCTATTTGATATCAGTGTTTATATAGCCTTGAAGTGATGGCCCTGAAGTCTTTGACTAGTAATGAACAAGGATGCTGTCAGTGCTGGAGTGGTTGCATCCATTCAGACAGAAGCAAATGGCCTCTTTTGCACTGAATTCCTATCAGTTTAGTCAGGGTCACTCTGCCTCTTCTCTTTTGATTTTTGTTGTGTGTTCAGTTGGCACAGCATAGACTCAGGATTGATGTGGAAAACAAATGTTTTTCCTAGACTCCGGGGATTCTGAAAATGAGAACATATGTTCTATAGGTATTACTGAACTCTAAATAAGAGCCATCTCAAGAGAAAAAGAATTTCAGCCAAACTACACTCATCCTTTGGGCCACATCCTGGTCCCAGTTACATGAAGAGAAATAAGTCAAGGAAATTTTGTGAGATGTAAACCTGAAGAACTGAAGTTCCTCAGTAAATTGTTCAAGCATATGCTTATGCTAATCCCAGCAAAAGTTATCTTCAGCATGTGCTAGACTCCCATTGATGCATCCAGCGCATGCATAAAGTTAAGCATACGCTTAAGAGTTTTGCTGAACAAGGTGTCCAATTGATTTGAGACATGAAAGCAAAGTCTAGTAAATAAAGCTGTTTATCAGGATGATGAAAATCAGTGACTTGCTCACTGTATAAATGAACTACATCACATTACTAAGAATATGGGTAAATCTACCTGACCAACAGATTCAGCAGGAAAAGGAGAAAAAACCTTAGTACAGGAAAAAGATGATGACCAAGTTGTACACTAGGATGTTGGTGGTAGAAGCAAAAGGCTAGGAAACTAGCACAGCTTTGGGTTACACGGTGGCTGAAATAGCACTGCTTATTTGAGAAGTCTATGGGAGATGGCAAAGCTTGTCAAATACATTATGTCTGGACTTAAGTCCCTTTTGCCATTTTTTCCCTAGCTGGCATGTACTTGAACACACTTTGCCTTTGCAGACCAAAAGAAAAGCTCTCTACAAATTCTAAATACCACACACTCATTTTCATCCCTTTAGTCATGCCTATTTATCTGCAATCTCATGCAGCAGAACATCCACCTCCCCAGTAACTCTGCAACTCAGTAGCACAGAGGGCCAGGTGGGCTTTCCTGATGCAGACCACCAGTTTCTAAAGGTTTTGCACTGCTGAGTTTCCAGAGGCACTTGAAAACCTGTCCATTCAGTAAGGTCTCTGATACTGCAAAGATCTTACAGGACAGACAAGACAGAAAAAGGATGGAAGAGGAACAAGAGATTTGCCCCCAAATCACCCATCTTAGTGGCAGAATGATTATAACACGGGTCTTCTGTAATCTCTCCTCCAGTATAGATCATCCACAAGGCCAGCTCTCATTGAAGTGTCTGTGGTAGCCCAGACAGATCAATCAGGATGGAAAGGAAACTTGCTATGAAGTGGAGTAAATTATTTGTCTACTAACACTGTTATTTTAAAGGGCCAGTATAAGACAAAGGAGCAATTGCATGCTTGGGAGCTGTACACGTAAGAGTTATTTGGTGTAGGTCTAGGGAAAAGCATCACACTTCTGTTGCAGTGCCTCAAAGTCAAAGTTGTGTGCGGTCCTTGCTCCTCCTCTGCCTGGTACATATAGTAGTGTGTTATAGAATAAGCATGAAATTAGGCTGGGGACTTCACATGGACCTAAGAACAAGAAAATACAATTGGGGATAAGGCTGCCTAAGCCCTTAGGTCTCTGGGGAGAACCCAGCCTTACAGCACAATTCATGCAACAGCCAGTTACAGGAGTTGCCCTGGCTTGGCACTCAGAGAAGCGGGAGCAGGATGCAGTCCCTCACCTCTGGACTTGCTTTTAGCACACTGTGAGGGTGCTCCATGTCAGTCAAGTCCACACCCCAAAGTCAGTGAGTCTACATGGCCACAGGTTCTGCTGGCGGGCTGCAACCAGCTCCTGCTGGCCAAGGGGCTGGAGACTGCGGCAGCATGGAGCAGAGCCAGCAAGTGCCTCCAGGAAAGGCCAGCTCCCCTCTTGGGGATATTCGCTTCATTACCCAGACATCTGAGCTAGGCAGTCCCAACACCCTTGAGCCATCACTGTGTAACCCTTGCCAACTTCTGGCGGAAAGGCATGGCAAGGAGGAATGTACTTTGAAGGATGGGGAATTATTCCAGTGGTGGCAGATTTGTTCAGATTGTCCTGGTTTCTTTCCATGTCATTTAACTTGAGCTGTGAGTTTTCCCTGTGTATGTGTTTATATGCAGGAATTATTCCAGGATAAAAATCTTCCTTCAGGGGTGTATAGCTGGGATATGTTGTGCACAACCTGGTACAGCCTGCCTGTTCAGCTGTAAATCATTACACCTCCACAGAGGTTCTCATGTAACAGAGAGAAACCTACTCCCTCATCTTGGCCCAGCTATTCCCTTCCTCACTTGAGCCACCACAACACCCCTAGTTTTAAGAGATCAATCACTGCCTTTATCAGGGAAACAGAAAAGCTCCTTCTCTTTCCAGTCCTCCAAAACAACAACTCTGCATCTCCCTGCTTCTCTCAACACATTGCAAGCAGTTTCCTGAGCATCCAGGATAGCAAACTTGCATCCCCTCAAAGGGCACACTTCTCAGCCTGTTGAACACTTCTTGGCCCTGCAGTGTGGCTACTTACCATCAGCTGGGACTTACTTCTAGTAAGAAACAAAAAAAAGCACCTATGAAATGCTGCAGAGAAGGGCAGACAAAGAACATGGCCAATTATCATCATTTGTAATTCTCTATTCTATTGTAAATACATCTTGTACATACTTGGATGTTTTCATCATTTACTGTCTTTATGGATTATGTGTTAAATGAAACTCTCTTAGTTTATTGTGTAACACTGTAAATAACATAACATCCTTTATTATTTATGCATAGGCATCTAACACGCGGAGAAAGTTATCCTCATATTATTTTAAGATATATGTCAAAAATATGTTGCATTTTTCTTTTTGCTTTGAAAAAAATTGTAATATATCCTCTTTTTCCCCTCTTTTCCTTTAAAAGAAAAATGAATGCTAATTTATTGTTCAGGAGAGAAAGGGGATGTAACTGAAAGGCAAACTGTTCAAAGAACATGCTATGGAAGCCACAAGCTACTGATAAACTAAAGAATTTATTATCCCAAATACAGCAATAAGTAATTGTTGATTTATTAAGGTTTTGTTATTCATTTTCAGTAAAAGAGGTGCTGGATTAAATTGTTTATGTGTTGTACTGGCCCAGCTGCTCAGCAGACTGTGTCAGGTCAGTAGCCACCATCTTTCTGGATCCAAAGAGTGTTGTAAAGGTCTTGTTCTGTCTTTGTGGGCCACTGTTCCCTGAGTTTCTGACTCATCCCTATGGAGGTGTCTGGCAGACTCTCTTGTTCCTAGTTACAACATTTTTAGTTTCTTAAATTAGAATTATTAGCTTTACCCTGACCATTACTACTCAAGGTTGATGAGGGATGGTGGGGAGCAGAAATGACACAGTCTTGGGGCTGTGAGAGCCTGCTCTACAGAAATGTCACCTCACTGCTCAGTAACAATCAATAAAGCAAATCAGATACTAGGATTTATTAGATGACATTGCTATGCCACTGTATAAATTCATGATTTGTGCAGATCTTAAACACAATGAGTGGTCTTCTGATCTTCTTGTCACAGACTAGAAATAGTAGTATGGTGGAAGGTTTGTAAGGCAACATGGTAAGCAAATATCTGGAGCTGGTGAAGTCTGGAGGGCACTGAGTAGGCTCATTAGTCTGGAAGAAAAGACAGTTGAGGAGAGGTATCACAACGGTCTATGGAAACATAATTATCTTGTAGAGGGTAGGGAAGGACTGGCTGCTAACCTCCTCCAATATAAGAACCTGAGTTAAGAATCAAAACTACTGGGCACCATATTCAGAAATATGTGGCTCTTCATGTGAGGTGTAGGGAACTTGGAGAACTCCTTGCTGCAAGAGGTCGTGAACTGTAGAAGTTTCCATAGGTTCAAGGGGGATCCAGATTTTAGACAGTAATCCAATGAGAATTACTAAATCTATTGACATCACATCAGATGTGGGAAATATCTGAACTGAAAACATGTGGAGTTATATAAAGTGGAAATATTGTGTATCCTTGCCCTTCTCTTATGCTTCTCCATTTATCTGCCACTATTGGAGAGAGGGCTGGGCAGATATCTGATCTGGCTGTCCTTACGTGATATTAGTATATAAACTCATTTGCTATTGACAAGCATGAAGTCAGAGGAGGAAAGCCAGGAGTGAAGAAAGGAGGGAGGAATGTAGCAAAGACATCTTGGATGTGTTTCACATCCATTTGTTCCCAGACCTGGTAGAAACACGTAGGTCAGATTCCTACTGAATGAGTTGCCAAACTGAGGAGGGATGGAGGAATTGAGGGATGCACGAATGAAGGGATGGAGGAATGGAAGAAGTATGGAGGGATGGAGGAAGGAAGAAAAGGAAGGAGGGATGGATGTGGGTTTTCTGTCACCACCTATCCTCCATTCTCAACACAGAGAGTGAAAACCTGGGGGACCAGTCAGAACAGGTTCAGTTTCCCTCTGACAACTTCCCTGTCTTGCCGTTGCATGTAGAGGGGTCTTGTAGCCCAGATTCTGGGTGCTCAGGCTATTGGCCTCACCTATCTTAGTTGGGTAGGGTCCTGTCACCTCAGAGCAAGCCCAAGCCAGCCTACCATTGCACAGTACTACTACTGAGGAAAGAAGGATACTGCTTGTATCTTCCACTGCAGGCTGTTGAAATGGAAATGGAATGCTCTGAGAGGCCAGTCTCCTCCGCAAGCATCCCCTTTGGCCGCCTTGGGTGGGAGAGGAAGATAGGGGATTTCTGAAGCAATTAGGGACCATAAGAATCACTCAGAGTCAACAGGACCTCATCTCACATTTGACACAGACCTGAGTACTTTAGGGAACGCATCCTTGTGGCTGTCCTTGCAAAAACATTGTTTTTCATTCCATGCTGTCTTTAGCCCATTGTCTCTCTCTGCCAAGCTTCTGCCTCTACACTTCTCCACAAGGTTGGGAAGCAGATGGCCTCAGGGAACACTACAGAAAAAACAAGCAAACCTTCTCCTCTTTTCTGCAATCCACAGCTGGGTATGCTCTTAGCATGCCAACTCCACCCAGTTATGAGCGTATGATTTGCATGACGCATTCCCCAAGTTAGTTCTCTTTGTCTCTGCTACAGCTGATGGGAAAAAAACTATATCGAAGGCCTCAAGATGTTACTGCTACTTGCTGATGATTAACCTGTATAGCCCAAGCAAAGGAACATCAATTTAGCTCAGAGTATGAGCCTGACAATTCTTCTTTATTAATAACAGACCCTTAATAACAGCAGTGGGAACCCTTCAGGGCTAAATCTCATTTTAGCACTCAGAAAAAACACACAGAGCCTTGGGGATTTTTCATCCCAGACTGTTCCTTCTACCTGATACTATGACCTTTTGCTGGAGTCATTACAAAGTAGCCCTTATTAGAAAAGTTCCACTGGTTGCAGAATAATTCCGTGTATCTCCAGGCTAAGTGTGGCAGGGCAGATGTCACAAATCAGTGGTATGTTCCTGATGCCCTCATTTCCACCCATCAAGACAAGGACTTAAAGAAAGTTCCACATCTCCCAGCATGGAAGAGATGGAACATGATCAGACCCATGCACATCTAGGAAGGCTGCAATATCCATGTCGAGTTGAGGACAGTATGGCTCTCTCCGCAAGAGGTTATTTAGAGCTCTGCACTTTCTAAGCATGGCACAGATTGTCTGAGCCTGAAACAAAGGCAACAGTATGAACAGAATGAATTCCCCTTGAAAGCTAGACCTCACTTTCTAAGAGGTAGAAAGGTCCAGGAGGTAAGTTAGCGCCAACTTTAGTTGGAAGCTGAATGTCTAACATGAATGGCAGCTGCTGAGCTTTCCATTTTGTTTCTTCCCCTTGGGGACAGCAGATTCACCTGCACTTGATGCGATGCCCCAGGAAGTTAGAGGAATCATGGTAGCAGTGCATAGACACCACACTAAGTAAGGCTAGCTCTTCTGATGACAGCAACAGAAGAGGTGGTGAGGGAGTCATTGCAAGGTTACATGCTCAGCAGTTGGTAGGGATACAGTGATTGTTAACTGATTAAATCATTAGTCTGGTAATGGTCAATTTGGAACCAAGCTTCAGAAGCCAAATATTGTGTGGGAGGTATTTTAACTTACCCTGCACATTACTGCAGACAATTGGGTTGTGTGTTTGCTACATGTACACACACATACAGGCAGCCAGTTTGCTGTAATGATTTTCTGATATTCAGTGCATGCTCAGTGACAGGAAAGGAAAAATGGCTCAACAAGGCCATGCAGCAGCTGCAAAATTGCCTACATCCAAGAGGAAACACCTTTGCACAACAGAGAGGAAAAAATGAGGGTGGTATTTGACATGTACAGCTGTGAAGAGATGGAAAGGGAATGTCTTTTGCTTCCCCAATTGGACAGGCTGAATCACAGCTTGCAGAGTTGCCTTCATGGAGCCACAACTGAGAAAGGACTAGCAAGGTGGAGGACTGAGGGGACTCAGACTAGGGTCAAGGATGACTAGGGTCAAAAATGGCAGTGTGTCTCTCATTTCATTGAAATAACCCTAAACACAATGGATTCATCCCAAACAGAAAGAGGGTCACTGAAGATGCCAAGTGATAGTTCCTGGGCCCTCTATATGTGGCAAAGAGACAGAATTTCCAAAGACCAATTCTCGTCCTGAGATCTGGCTCTTGGGATGCTCCCATCTTTTGCTCCGCCTTTGCACCCTAAAGGCTCAAAGCTGAGGGTGAGGTAAGTCAGGTCCTCCACAGAAACAGACAGTAATCTGCTGAATGTATATGAGGAGACTCAGATACCTGCACCTACAGCATAATTCCTGGAAAAGGGGGCTGTAGAAGCAGTAATCCAAAACTATAGGGAATAAAGGCCACAGTATGAATTCAGGAAGCTGCAATTCAACATCCAGTTTTAAAGTAATCCCCTAGTAAAAGCTCTAGAAAACAAAATAATACCATTCTAGTGATATATGAACCATTTTAATCATCTAAAAAAAAACCCCAACCCTGTAGTTCTGACATCTTAGCATCTGCACACACCATCTTACCATATTCAACTAAGACATGCAATATTTATCTGATGGCTAATGATTATGAAATAAAGCTCAAAGTAATAAAATTCCAAATAAGAACTGGCAGACCACAGCTATCTTGTGTCTGTTTTATAATCAGCAGTTCAGTTATCATGGTACTAAATCTCACACTCTGGGTCATATCAATGAAATAACAGAAAAAAACTCTAATACTGTAGTCCCTATTACTTCCATTTCTAAGTGCCAACTTCCTTCAAACAGGACTTACATGGTCTGTTACCAACAACTTTACCAAATCCAAAGAGGAAATTGTGATTACTGAAGTCCAGGTAACCTGAAGTCCAGTTAACAGGATTGTCTTTGCAGTAATTCTACCCTCTGCTCTTTCCTTTACTTGGCTTTCCGATACAGTCGAGAGCCTATCTGAATATTTCTGTGCCTCTCATAATGAGTTAAAATTTTTATTTTAAAATTATATTTTTACTAACCTTCACTTGCTGTCCTACAACTTTTGCTGCCCAGAAATCCAACTGTATCCTGGGCTGCATCAAAAGAAGCGTGGCCAGCAGGTCGAGGGAGGTGATCCTGTCCCACTAGTCCACTCTCATGAGACCCCACCTGGAGTACTGTGTCCAGCTCTAGCGTACTCAGGACAGGAAAGATATGGACCAGTTGGAGCAGGTCCAGAGGAGGGTCACAAAAATAATCAGAGAGCTGGAGCCCCTCGGCTGTAAGGACAGGCTGAGAGAGTTAAGGTTATTCAGCTTGGGGAACCTAAGACTCCGGGGAGACCTTATAGCAGCCTTCCAGTAATTAAAGGGGGCCTACTGGAAAGATGAGGACAAACTTTTTAGCAAAACCTGTTGCAATAGCATGGGAGGCAATGGCTTTAAACTAATAGAGGGTAGATTTAGACTAGACATAAGGAGGAGGGTTTTTTACAATGAGGGTGGTGAAACATTGGAACAGGATGCCCAGAGAGGTGGTAGATGTGCCATCCCTGGAAACTTTCAAGGTCAGGTTGGACAAGGCTCTGAGGAATCAGATGTAGTTGAAGATGTCTCTGCTCATTACAGAGGAGGTTGGACTATATGGCCCTTAAAGGTCCCTTCCAAACTATTCTGATTCCATGATTCTAATTTCATTTGACTGACAAATGCTCTAGTGGCTCAGCAGCAGAACAGCTCTCAGCTTTGATGATAGATGACTGCAATATATTCTCAGCTGAAGGAGAACAGCATGCTTGCTGCTCCTTCTTTGGTATTTCACCAGGATCACATCATCAATGTCAGCACGTAGTTCCAGGATGTTCTTTGGAAATATTTTTGTTTGAAGATCTAAAAGGGCTGAGTTTGTCTCCACCACCTTCCCACATGCATGCACCACATCTTTTGGATTTAAAGAAATGGAAAGAGCTTTTTAGGGGCAGCAGAACAAAGGGGATGTTGTGTGGTTCTGTCTCAGGAGTAAAAAGATAAACAGCTTTACCACCAAGCCCATCAAGCTTTGTGACACTTAGCAAGCATGGCATTATTCATCACAAACTGAGGTGATGGGAAACGTGCCGTACTGCCTGAGGAATACGATGAACTTCAGAGCAGAGGCTGAAGAGCCTTTACAGTTAAGGAGTGGCACCCAGAGACCTGGCTGACCTGGGAGCTCCAAAAGTATTCAGAGCATTGCTCTAATAAGGCAGCCATCTGAGTGCATTGCAGTGCGTCATGCCCTAGGCATTTGTGGAGGTTTCAAAGGTCAGCCATTCTTGGCTGCAACTTGCTTTCAAGGGTGTTAAGTGCTCCCACTCTGGCCAGGAAGCCCTTGGCTTGAAGACACCTATCCAGGGCGTTCTTCCTGAAGCCAGTGAGGAGACCCAGGATCTCAGCAGTGCTCCTTCCAGCCCCAAGGAGGAGTAAACAAATGCACAGCTTGACTTCCTGAATGTTGGCCTGAAACCAGACACTGTGTCAATACTCTGCTATGACAGCTATGGCAGTTAGAATTACTTCAGAAAAGAAGCATCCAGTGACTTAGAAGCTCAACAATCTCTTGCACCAAAAAGCAAATGTTTTCCCTGATTTTTTTGGAGAGATGGTGGGTGGGAGCTGAGAAGATTAAGTGCAATAGAAAGTTTCAATCTGCAGGCTGGGTTAAAGTCCTTCAAAGCCTGGGGGCACAGACAGCACTTTGACAGCAGATGCTCTCACCCACTACCAATACGGAGCCTCAGCTTGCTCCTGGCAGCAAATACCCTGCAGTCTCTTTAGAATATGGGCTAGTTTAAACAGTGCTATTACTTGGTGGCTGAGGTTGAGACAACAAGGTCATGACCATCCTTGTACATCCAAGTAACATGAGTGTCCAATGACTGTAGTTGTGTAACCAGCTATTCCATCTACCTGTAAATAAATACTGTACCTATGTGTCAAATACTTGCAGGATGTTATCCACTGCCCATACAAGGGGTTTATTTTGTCTGAGCCACATAACTGCACTCATCCAAATGTAAACTCTGCCAAGGGACTCACTTAGTAACTCTAAAAGGTCTGCTCTCTCTGTGAGAGTCCCCAAGACCTTCCAAGCTGGAATTCCTCTATGGGCAGAGGCTATCCCATTTGCTGCTGACAGCAAAGTAGCAGTAACAGCAGTGAGTGTGGCATGCGCTGGCCACATGGCTACTTAGCTAGGCTGCTATAAAGATTTTGAAGTGCAGGTCAAGCTCTCTGTTGTGGTAGTTAACACTGTTCCAGCAGCTTGGCTATGCCTATGTGAACAATGGGAAGGTGTTCAACAGTTAACATTTCCAGGAATTGCTGATTTATCTATATGGCTAAACATGGGTGGTCCTAACTCCCATTCTTGTACTCAAACTAGTAAATTACCCACCATCCAAAGGAAGAACTTTTTCACAGTGAGGGTGACAGAGCCCTGCAACAGGTTGCCCAGGGAGGTTGTGGAGTCCCCTTCTTTGGAGATTTTCAAGACCTGCCTGGATGCAGTCCTTGCTCTGACAAGCTCTGGGTGGTCCTGCTTTGGCAGGGGAGTTGGACTAGATGATCTCTATGGTCCCTTCCAACTCTAAAAAATTCAGTGAAATTCAGTGAAATCCCTCTCCCTGGTATATTTGTTTCATGCAGTCCAAGTACAAAATGACCCACGTCATGTATGCTGAATCCTGCCTCCCTAGAACAGCCTTTTCCACTATTGCTTTAAGCAGGAGAAATGCATACGGTTAGATTCTGTAGAAAGGGTTTGGGGAAGTGCAAAAGCTCTAAAGTAGTTGGGCAAAGAGAATCCTGCTTATGAATCATTAATGCTTTCGTGCCTCCCCACAGAAAAAGTTGCTCGCTTTTAACATAGAAATGAAGATAACTGGGTTAAATGCACAGAGTCTTCACCTCTACCCTTCCCAGGAGGAACTTTGCTGCTTTTCTTTCTCTTTGAAGAGTAATGACTTGCCCTGAGGAGAAAACCTTCTACAAGGATTGTAGCCCTCATTTGCATGTGCTGATTAGCCTCAATATCACCATGGTTTGGTTATGTGCATAAGCACTCTGCAGCTTCTCAAAAGATAACAAATGTTCCTGCCTTCATTCACAAAGCTGCAAAGGCTTGGAAATGGCATGAATAACTGCTTTGCTAATAGCAATCACTACTGCAATGACTAAGATTAAAATAGGATAGCTGCTATTAATGCAAGTGACAGTGATAATTCCACAGTACTGTATAGTAGTAACCTTTTTATAGCTGAAGTTTGTTACCACTAACATACTTTTGGGTTGTCTCTCAGCTAATTTGCAGGAAGTTTCAGCTGCAAATCATGTATCTTTGGAGTACAAAATACCAATCCCATGCAATGTCCCAGTTCTTGGAAGGACCTTGAGACAAAAACACATCTGAGCCTGGTACTGTTAATAGAAAAGGAGAGAAAAATGTCCCAAGGCCATTGCTGGCAACTGAAACACAACAAAGCTGTTTATAATGCTCTGGAATATGGTTTGGTCCTGTTCTGTGATGACTGGTGCTCAGGAGATGACTTTAGGTTGCATGTGTTATAGGCCATGACCAGCTTCAAAGACAGGAAGCAAAGAGCATCCCTCTGCTGCTCCCATTTTCTATAAACTGCTTTGGAAGTCTGCTTGGACATCTTCCTGTGGAAGAGGGCAAGAAGTTGACCAGCAGTGAGTATTTAGCACCTTTGGGGAAGGAAGGCAGGAATAGTTCAGAGGGCATAACTGGGAAGGAGTGGGACAAATTTCTTGCGTATGAGAGGGAGTAAGAATTCAGCATAGATATAACACTTTGGAATGCCCCACCACTGTTAGGGGCAGCACCACAGGCCTTTGGACTGAATAGCTGGGAGTTGCAGCTCTGCTTTGAGTCCACGCATGGTCCCAATTCCCCTCAAACCTACATGCTCCAGCCAGAGTGCAACAAGCGACGTCTTTGTTCAGCTCACGGAAAGCCTATTCTGGACAGCCTGTGTGCAGCTGTCATCTTTCTTGTGTCTCCTAAGTTAACAGGAACACCATCCTGGTCAGCAAGATCAAGTACTAAGAGGAAGAAGAAAACCAATGGGACTGTTGAATAACACCATAACGTCGCAAGCTGTTGTTGAAGAAGCGGATAGTACTTGTATCTCCACTGTAAACAACTGTGCACGGTGGCTAGAAACAGCCCAGTAAAAGTTGCCCCTCTGTAGGCAGGACTGGAAGCAAATAAATGTGAAGCCAATAGTGCCGTTCAGTCAGCATGGGAGCCTGCTGCACAGCAGGGATAGGGCTGCTTGCCTCTTGGAAAGATGAGACCCTCCCTGGCAGAAACAAAATGACAATGTATTCCTGCAATTTACAGGAATATGATTCCAGAAACTGAAGCCTTTCCTCATTAACTTTACGAATGGAGGAAGAGTGACTTAACTGACTGGCTGGGGCATGTTTATGTGGTGGTCATCTAACAAATCCCAGGCACTGTTCCAATTAGCAGGCCTGTGTGATGTCTGAATTATGCTCATTAGAGCATTCTTGCATCCTTGCTGGTGTGACTTTTCCACACTTCTGAGTAGAAACACACCCGTCTTCCAAAACAGCACATAAATGCTGAGCCTAATCCTCAGCCTGATGTTTGTCCTGGTTACCATGTGTCTTAATTCTACCCTGGCCTCAGAGAACAAAACGACAAACGGCTAGAAAACAAAGCTCTGTTTCTTCCACCCAAATGGGGATGCAGTTTTGCCTTTTGGTCTTTTGCCCATCTAATTCTTCTTCTCCGAGATCACAGCTTAAGACCTGTAGCCAGGGCATCTTCCTATAAAGACTTTGTTCCAGTCTTGCCGTGTTTTATCCAGCTGATGCAGCTTTTTGCTTGCAGAGGGCTGAGAATTTTGTTTCTGCAGAGGAGTTAGCGGCAGATCAGGTAACATTTTCTCACTGCTCCACAGGACCATAGGGGTTGGTAAACTGGGTTTCTCTGAGGTGTGCTGTGGACTTCTTGCAAGGATTGCCACTAATTACCAGGTTGCATTTTGGCGTTGCCAATTTTGTCACTTCTTCAATTGCCACAGTCTGTAGGATCTGCCATGCCTCCGCCCAGAGGCTCATCTAGTCTCTCATGGACCATCATCTCACTACAGCTGTTCATAGGTGGAAAACAAATGGGTGCGTAGTGCCAGAGAGACCTCTGATACTAGCCACAAGGAAACAAGTTCTCCACCTGAACAGGACCTGTGTGTTTCTGGGACAGGTATTGTGAACAGTGAAGATGGACCACGGTAGACAAGTTCTTCAGTGGCACACCTTGCGCCTTGGCCATCTCTGTTGCTTCCACAGTTAAGAGCCTACATTACCTGTGTCCACCCAGGTATGAACCAGTTCTTTCTCACAAGAAGGTGCCCAGCAGCATTTATGTCCATACTATTTGCATAGCTGTAATTACTAAAAACTCTATCTCCATTAACAATCTTACCCATGTAAGCTGACAAGCTGGGGGAGGCTACCCTACAGCATTGGCACTGTATTGCCTCCCTACCTTACTCTGCACCAAATGGAGATGAAAGGTCCTTGTTCCGTAACTGTTATAACTTTTTGACTAAAAACATCTCTTAAAGACATATGTGCAAAAGGAGGTACCTCTGAGTTTGTTACTTGAAACTGTACTTAGAAAAGAAAAACATAAAGGACTTAATCATGTTGAAATGCATCGTCTGGTTTCTTTTTTAGTTGATGGTGCTGAGTTACATTTTGGTTTCTATGCAAGTGGAAGAGAAATAAAAGACGGTTGTGGAACTGGGAAATAGCCTAAGCAAGGTAAAAGTCAAGAAGGTTAATTAATTTTTTTTTTTTTGTCAACTTGTGCATTGAAGTGCAGCCCCTCAGAAAATCTACACAGGCTGTGTTGCTGTAGGCAACAAGAGAAAGCCAAAAATTGATCAGATTTCTGATCTCGCTTTAATGCCGATCTATCCTATCCAGTGCTACTCATGCATTAAAAAAGTTGTGGTAGGGAGCAGGCAAAGTCAATTTCAGATTAAGAGCACTGAAAGCTAAATGAATGCAGTAGGAAAGGGTTTCCGGGAGTTATGGACAAAATAAGAGGGAAACAAGGGTATAGTCCCAATTGCCCTTCAGGGCAGCTAAGTCCCTATAGCCCCTCGATTCTTTTTTATGCAGGAAGGCACGCAGTCTTTGAACAGTGTCAGCTGATTAATTCTGAAATTAAGGGGATCTGGCAAAAAACATCTGTGACATCTCCACTGTTTTACCTAGTTAGTAACTATAATAAATATTTTCTTTTTTTTTATTCTTTAGGTGGCGTGGTCCCAACTGCTTAAATGCAGGCAGCACACATACTGAGATGTGGGCTGCGTAAATGATTCAGTACTCAACCCAGTTATGCTTAGGACACTAACAAAGCTCTGCTTGCTGCAAGGTCTCATGAAAAAAGGATGTGTTAAAGGAGGCCAACAGACTGTGAAAGGAACTGCTACTCTGTTTAGTCACGTCAGCTTTCTCAGGCTGTTCTATAGCAGGCAGGAAAAATTAGTTTAAGGACACTGACTCAGCTTCAGCCAAGGCACCTCTTCTATGAGCTAGCTGGAAGGGTTGAATTCAATTATCTTCTTCAAATACGCAATCACTTGTTAGACATCTCTCCTGTTCTTGGTATAAGGAGGGATGGTTCTGCTTTATTCAGCCACATGCACGGTGCCGTTTTACATCTGCCCACACTTGCTGTCTCCCTGAGACTTCAGGACAAGGCACTTCAAGTGGATGGGAATATTCCCTTCCAGACTGACTATGGTCAGCTATACTTCCCTTCCAGGACTGGGCCACTGTTTTGTAGTTGACAATGCTATGTCATCTGTCTCCCAGGCTGCCATACTTTATGCAGAACCACAAGTAGAGGGGTTCCTTTTAACCTCAGAGGGCTAAATTCAAGCTCACCCTTTGGATCAATCCCACTAATGTCCTGAACTGGTGCCCGGGAGAAAAATGCAGTGGGCAAGCCTGGTAATACCACCGAAATGGGGCTCTAGGATGGAGAGTGCACAGTAATGAAGTGAAAAGGCAGTATTGGTCAGAAAGAAGACACAAACCCATGAATAAAAGATCAAAAAGTCTCTTGTGATGTTGACAAATCAGAAGGGCAAAGAAACAGGAAAGATGCCGACATCTTGTCCACCACAACATCAGGCACAATGGGAGTGGAGTCTGGCTGGGTCACAAATGCTCGCCAGTTTTCCTCTGCCTTTGGGTTTACCTGTGAATACCCTGCACACAGAAGGGGTGGATTTGTGCTTGCATGCAAGGCATCAGTCAAACATTGACATTTTTGTGCTGCCCAGAGTATCAGATGGAGTGCATGGTCAGGTAGGCAAAGGAGATAAATTTAAACTAGAGCTGCAAAGGAAATTTTTGTCTCTTCTTATTCTTCAACAAACTTTTAATTCCTTCTTTCAGCATGAGATCTCTCCCAGAACTGGGCATGGTCTTCCGTTTTAGGCGTACAAAAGCCTCTGCCTATTTGTGTGACAGCATTTTTATGGGTGTCTAATAGCATGTTAACAGAAGCACCAGCAGCACAGCATATCTGTTTAAACTATTTCAGCAGCTAGAAGAGTTACATAGAGTGTCAGATATTTTTCAGATTAGTCCTTCTAGCAGCTGATAACATATGGGTCTCAGCTGAAATGCTATGATGTAAGCCATGCAAAAGGCCCACAAGGCAAATTAAGCAATAACATGCTTGATGCTCTGGCATCATAACAAACCATATTTCTTTCTAAGTGGTGCACAGTGGGAAGCGGTATTCCCTCCCCTTTGCTCTCCTTGCATTCACCCTCAGGCACAAGATGACAGACTCCGTGCTAAGTATCTCTGGCTGCTTTGTATGGCTGAGGGTACCAACTGTCCTCCTGGCAGCCCCCAACAGTGGGACAGAAGGGCAGCACCTGGAGGAGCTGGCAGGCTCCTTGCCTCTCCCTGCGGGCTCCTCCAGCCTGCCCCAGAGTCACTTAAGTGGGGAAAGCAAGGGCAGGGCATCCTGGAAAGGCGAGCTGAGGGAAAGGAGGAGAGCAAAGAGAGAAAAAGGCAGAAAGGAGAAGGCTGTGGAGTCAGGGTGAGGAGGAATAAAAGGCTGCTTTACCCCCAGACCAGTCACACTTTTCCTGGGCACCCTTGCCTATGGATGGATAGGAGCAGAGATGACACCTGGATCTAGACAGGACAGGGCAGCATGGAAACCACCCAGCAGCGTAGGACAGCCCTTCTGCCCATGCACCCTCTGTCAACAACAAGAAAGATGGGCTGAGCTGGGCTCAGATCTGCCTGTCACCCCAGCTCTGAATGCTGCTGTGCACATTGCTTGCTGCAGCCCAGCCAGTGTGGAAGGGGACAGAAAAAAGGCCAGGAGGGCGAAACAGGGAGCAGGGCACACATGGCTGTTATGGTCTGGGGCAAACAGCCACCAATGAAATGGCAATAGGGCAGGAAGGGGATGGGGACCACTCCTGGAGAGGGATTCAGGACTCCCTCAGGCAGCAAGCAGGGGCCAACGCCGAGCCCCGCAGGAGCATTAACAATGCTACCTGTCCTGCTCAGTACAGGGGCAACATCTGAGACCCAAAACCAGGTGGTGTCTGACCTATGACATGGTTTTCTGTCCGAGACGGGGTGGCTGGCAGTGCTGCAGTGGGTCCAACATCCCTTCATGACAGTCAGAGGAGCACAGGGTGATGACAGCTCACCTGCTGCCTGCCATAGGGAGCTAGCAAGGGACGCTCAGTGGCAGGTTTCAGGCTGACCTGGTCTTGATGACCTGAAGCCATGCTTCAGCTGGCTTCCATCACCCTATCAAGGAAAGCTGTGGTCACCCAGCAGTAACACTGAGGTGGCCTCATCACCATGCTGCTGCTTGGGCAATTCACAGGGAGAGAGATAAAAGGCCCCCATGCAATGGGTCACAGACCAGCCATTATGCCAGAGAGAGGTGTGGTGTGGAGGAAAGAGGCAAGACTTGCGCAGTCAGGAACGCCACATTTGCATACATTGCATTGAACCCTGAGAATTCCTGAACTCTACCTGCATGTCCCAGAGGCAGTGCCCACATAAATGGACTCCTGAAGCTAACCTGGTGCTTTTCTGGATCCTGAGAAATCCAGGCTAGCCTCAGTAACAAAGTGCAGGTATAGACTGCAACACACAAAGACATATTCTGTTCTCTAATGCTGTGATGGAGAAAACTATTTTTGAAACCCTTATACTCCCTAGTTGAACTGCATAAAGTTCAAATAACCCTTGCTGGCTGGAGTCTAGCCAGGAAATGTTGAGGTGAGGTCATTAATGCTGAACTTCTGGAAACTCAGAGGTGTTTAGAGAGCCTGTTAATTACTGTAGTAATCCTTTAGACAATGCTGGCTCCTGGGATTTACGGAGCATTAGCACTTCAGTTGGGCTCGAATCACCCTACTGCCTCCTCACAGGAGTACCTCCTGATGCAAAGACTGCCAGTGTCTTCTCTAGGGCCATGCATGCAGAGGTAAGACAGAAGAGTCAGAGGGTGTCAGAAGCTGGCCCTGAGCATTTCCTAGCAGATGCAAGTCCTTTCTGTCCCATTACCACACAGCTGACATCATCTGTTTGCTATGTCTATCTGACACCTTATGAGGCGACAGATGGTTCCTACCTGCTGTGGAATGAGCCGCCCATTTTTTCCAAAACCATGTCCCTTTGACTACCTTATGCATGTAGGCCTAGCGCCAACAGGTCAGCAGAGGGAAGGAGTGCCCTGGAGCCAGAGCACAGTTTTAATGACAGTGTGGAAACCAAATGCCTAATCCATGAAAAATGCCTATGACAAAATATGAACAACTGAATTCACAATCATAGTAACACTGGGAACAGAGCTCAGCAAAACAGTTGTATTCTTTCAATCAGGCAAAGTAGCTGGTGCCCAGCAGCTCTCGCTCTTTCCAGCTGGGAGCTCACATTCCCAAACATGTTCTGTTGCAGGCAAGATTTCCTTACAGGGGGGCAACTGGTGCCCCTATACAGCGAGGGAACAGCAGTGTTATGTGAACCCATTGTAGTTAATGAACTTTGTCAGCTTGATTAATGATTTTCTAGCAAATTTAGCTGGCCATGGTTGAAAAGCAATCATAACTGATTTGTCCTATTGCATCTACAGTAGCAAACCCCACCAGCTACCGCTACATCATAGGCATAAGGATGCTGCTCAGCACTTGTGGCCATCAGCCTGCTTACCTGGTATTCCTTCAACCACGCCAGGGCTGCAGTACACTCTGCAAGGGCTGCTACAGACAAACAATTTCCTGAGGACATTCAGGCACCCAAATCTAGCTGGGCTACACACTGGAAATTTTCAGCACTGACTGTTTGCAAAGTGGAAGCCCCAGAAGCTCTCAGTGGGGTCCCCACCTGCCCCCCAGACTAAGTCTGCTCCCCTGCAGACAGCACAGAAGAATACAGGAACTGAAACTGAACCCATATCCATCCAATGGGCTCAGGGGCTCTTGTATAAAGCCTTATCGAAGAACTATCATTTCTCTGGCTTTGTCATTTATACAGCATGGAACATGCTGCTCAAAGCATGTTGAGACAGATGTGCAACTACTTACTAGCAGAGTCTGTAGCTGATGGCACGCATTAACTGTAATGGTGGAAGTTACTTTGAGGGG